GTGAGATCCTGTCTCGAAACATCAATGAACCAACAAACCAAATAAGTACACAAGTAAGCACACATGTGTCCATAAACATGTTCCCTATTTTCTTATTCCATGATTTGCCTGGCAAATCTTCATTGATTAAAAAAAAAAAATCTTCATAGATTGTGCACTGTAAGCTGTGCTTCATTCATGTTTAATTTTTGTAGATTCTGAACTTTAAAAAAGTTCAGATCAGTGAGAGTTTAGCAGTGCAATTTTAATTTTTCTGATTACACAAAAAATAGTAAAAGTTCTCTTTGAAAGACATATGTAATAAATTTATACAGTTTGTTTAGATTTTGTTGCAGAGAAAAATATTTCCTCATATTCACATTTACCTGATCATGGATAGTAACTTTTTCAAAAAGAATTAATTGGCTGAAAGAGATTCAGAAAAGAATTTGCTACAGGATTTGTCTTTTTGAAGCTGACCACAGAAGAGCTGACTTTTGGACCCCTCAGCCCATGTTCCTGGGTGTGGCCGGCTGCTTCCAAAGCCTGGGAACTCTTAGAGAAATAGGTAAGGCACACCTGTTCCTTACAGTGTGTGCTATGCATAAAAGATAGTGAGATTCTCTGACACAAGCACACACCAAGACTCCTTGACATGACTTCATTTCATTGACTTCAAAGGCATTTCTAGTATCAAACACCATATGACCAGGTTACAGGACTAAGATTACAGATAACAGCTTAATAAGACATAGTCCCTTCTTAAAAGAGCCCATGGTTAAGTGAATGAAACAGACCAAGAAATGACCAAGAAATATTACCTCTCTACAAGCCCAAAAAGGGTGTAATTGTGAAACAAGCACAGTTAGTAAAGAAACGGCAAGTCCTGTTAAGGTTTGTATCTAGGTGTCCCCTAAAAGCCTCATGTAGTCACGGGGGTGGTCTTCTGCGGGTTGTGAGTTCTACACCAGCCTGGATATAATATAAGGTGGGGCTGGCCAGCTGCTGCAGCCACTACTCCTCCCTTTGCTCTTTGCTGTCTTCTGCTGCCATGAACTGCTGTCCTATTCCACATGGCACTTGCCTTGGAGTCAGTCGAGTATGGACTGAAACCCCCATGAACTGTGAGCCAAATAAACCTTTCCTTCCTTAATGATGGATATTGGCTATTTTATCCCAAAAAAGAGAGAAAGGGAGGGCTTGCCAGTTAGCTCAGTTGTTTAAGCACCTGCATAGGCAAACCCAGTCAGGCATGGGGGACCAAGGTTCAATCCCCAGCTCCACATGCCATGCCAGACCTGCCCTTAAGGCAGCTTGAGCCAGCCAAAACAAAATCCTTCTTAAAAATGAGATAAAAGTAGCCAAGACATCATGTATCTTTTGGGGCTGGAGAATGGCTTTTGCAAATCATGCTTTTACAAATCAACCAAAGAACTCCTGGAATCTCAAGTGATCATTAATTTGCAGACAACTGGGGCAACTTTGCAAAGCACTATCTCAAAGTTTTAAGAGGGCTGGAGTAATCCCAGTACTTGGGAGGATGAAGCAAGGCCCGCCTGTACTCCATCATGAGACCCTGTCTCAAAAACACTAGAGGTTTAGCTTAGTGTAGAGCACTTGCCTGGAATGCAGGTAATATAGGTTCAAATCCAGCATCACATAAAAAGAAATAGCAACAAAAAAAGCAAAAGACCAAATGAAAAGAGCGAAAGAAGGGACTGACAGAGCTGGACATCAGGAAATCCCACTTACTGAGAAAAAGAAACAAATAGTGCTGTAAGTGCTGTGCTACTAGAAGCACACATTTTCTAATTGCTCCTGATGACAAGGATCTCTTAGATCTGAGACTTTAAAACTAAGTCTAGAATAAGTAAGAGCTTGTCCAGCTGACTGGAGTAAAAGGAGGCATTGTGGACAGAGGAAATGCTGTGTGTAAGACCTAGAGCATGAAGGAGTGGTGCAGCAGTAGTCGCTGAATGTGGCTAGAAAATAGCTTGTGTAAATTGGAATGATTCTCACCCTGACTAACTATATATACTGACACCTGTGAACTAACCAACTGCACTGAAGATGGCAATTTGTAATAGTAGGTGCATGCTTGGAGTGCCTGTCGTTCTGGTCTTCTGAATACGAGCTGCTTGTCATGACGTGCCAGCTGCTGCTGTGCTGTCTCTCGGGTAGATGATTGTTCAAAAAGAAGGGGGTAGTGAATGAAGGCAGGAGACAGGAAAAGGAATATTGTGGGACTGTCCTGCTACAAGATTGTATATGGTTAGATTTCTGGACTTATGTGTAAACATAAGAATTACACAATTCTTTATGCCTATTTTTAAAATATATTTTAATTTTTCAAATACTTTTTCATCATATTCTGTAAGGAGTTAAATTTCAACATATCAATACTTGATGAAAAGTACCTGTTCCATGTTATGCCTAAGATGTTTGATATTCAGACAGATAGTGAGGTTAAACTTCACAGCCTAGATTGTATGGTAATAACAATAAGCTTCTCTTCTGGAGGGTTAACAACGTAAGTTTGCAGACCAAAATTAGAGAAAAAGGAGGTATACAGGGAAAGCCAACATTTTGGCCCTAGCCTTAAGGTCAATTAAGACTCAGGACATATGAGAAATTGTACTGTAACGTCATGTACCTCGGTAGTGTCCCAAATTTTCTGATCAAGGAGATTATGGGGCCAAACAGGAAAGTGATCGATGATGTAGATAGAGTGTGCCTAAGGAGAGTCACATGGAGAGAAAACATTCTCTCAGGCTTTCACAGAGAGCACATTGGCCAAGCAATGTCCATGACTCATCCACATGGCTGACGCTGACAAAGGATCTACAATCTGAGGTACAGGATCTCAGGAAAAATCCTGAGGGGATTTCACTGACCTTCTCAGACCCAAAAGCTACAACTCTCGTTGCATAGGTCTTGCTTTATCTTAGTCTTAACCATCCAGCAGAAAAGTATAAAAACAAAGTATAAGAAGTAAAGCCATGCTGTTATGTTGAGCTGGAGGGGACTCAGGTCAACAATTTCTGACATTGCCAGTCAAGTGGAAGACCCAATACTATTATGGACTATTGGACTCTTAGAATATTTTGCTGAGTTAAAACACCTGTATACTCAAATGATCGAACTAAACAAAAGGGATACAGATGAATGTCCATTTTGTATCTGTGTATTCAAGATGGTTAGGATAGATATGTAGTTACATTCTCTTAATGAATAGAGGGATTTGTTCTAATAGTGTTTGTAAATAGGGTGTCATGTCTGCATCTTGTACAGCAAATAACCACTAGGAAGAGAGTATGCAATATGTTAATTATTGAAACTGTCCTACCAATTTGATTTGAAACTGTCTCATTGCTATTTGTTTCTCAATACAATTATGGAAAAAATAAAAATAGTAAAAATAAAATAATAAATAAATAAAATTTAAAAAAAAGAAAATAGCTTGTGTAGGTGAGAATAACCAGGTCTCATAGCAGAGAAGTGTGCTGGCGATGCCTTGCAGTTGGGAAATTGTAGTAATGATTTGTTAATTTGTTGCTGTCTAATCCTGTCATGTCCTGGCACCTATAGAAAGACAGCAGAGCTTGTAGTATGCTTTGGAATAGGCAGTCTCGTGAAGAATGTTAGAGCTCCAGCTACTACAAGTGCACATGGCCTTCCTGACAGCTGGAGGGGAGGGCATCATAGCACACTGGCGACTTCTTTAGTGAGGAAGTTCTGACTTGACCGAAGTAAAAATGACAGACTTTGTTCTTCCAGGGATCACAGTCCCTAAGGAAGACACTCCAGCTCTCTGCTCTCCCTGGAGGTCAAGCTGATGATATTCAATGGCCCCAGTCCCTCATCACATAGCTAGTCTGGCTTGGCCAGTCCCCATCCTTGTTATCTTAGTATAAGCTACCTGGAGGCCTACCAGGAGTCACTTCAGTGGTATAAGTGATCAGATGCGGACCCAAAGGGGCCACAGAGAATAACAAGAAAGTTACTTCTCTACTGGAGTAATTCCAAGGGTTCAGGGTAACCTCACAAGAACCAGACAAAACCCCAGTGTCTCTCCAGATAAGACCAAATTCCTTAATATATATCCATTCAGATTTTTATTCAGGCCAGACTATTTTGCCAGAGAAACATAGTGAACAGGATAGACAAGGCACCTGCCCTCATGGAGTTTGCACCAAGAGTGAAAATAGAGAACAGTGGCCTTGATGGTATGTAATTACAGTTTCCTATGTGGTTTTATTTTTGTAACACCACTTCGTCTATTTGAAATTTTGTAGAGACACAAGTTGTCACTGTGTGTTACCATTTCTTTGATGATGAGCATAAAGACTAGCTGACCACCAAGGTCATTTATGTACCTTTGCACCTTTGTAGTTTGAAAACTAATGAGTCATGGTGTTTCACTAATATGTGGGCTCACTCTTAAAAATGATACTATGTGTTTTCTTCTGTGGTGGAGAACTATCTCTTTAACAAAGAACAACTTTTTAATACTTTTAAAAGTTAAAGTAGTCTCAAGCTCCAGGCTAAAAGACATGTCCAGCTATGACCACATTCCTTTGGGTTTAGAAGAGGATGAAATTATAAGTCAAAATTAAAAATAATTTTGTCATTTTAAATTTGGGGAAAATCCTTTATTTGTTCTGATGAAAATGTCAGTAGTCATGGAACTGTGGTAAAAATAATGAAAAATCACTGGCGTGGGTCTGCTTAAATTGAAAGCATTTTTAATTAAAATTTGACAGTATTTTGTGCTACTGTAGCCTAGCCGAGTCCCATCTTGTTCTTTTACTCAATTCTTTTGTGTATGAATTGCTTTAATTTTTAAATTAAACTTTAAAGTGAGTCATCCTGCTGCTTGATCTTTTTATTTCTACACTGTTTAAGAATCTCACAATCTTGGCTCTTGCTCTTTGCCGCTGCCATGAAAGTTTGCCCTCTGCCGTGTGCTGCTCTGCCTGGACCCAGCTGAATATGGACAGAAACCTCCAGTAACTCTTTTAGGCTGCTTGTAGAAGCCAGACCATATACTAGGAAGGTACTGCAGCAAGATGGACTTGGGAAAGGATCAGTCTCATTTGCAACTCCATCAGACACCTGACCATCGTCAAAGAGAGACCTTTGGTCCAGAAATCATTGGAACTTGGAGTTTGCGGAACCGAGAACAACTCAGAAAAAGAAAAGCTGAAGCACAAGAAAAGCAAACTTCACAATGGGCATTTGGAGAACAGAAAAAACGCAAGTGGCAGAACACAGGAAGAGGAAATCAAAGAGGCCGGAAGAGACAACAAAATGCAGAGCCAAAGAGAGAGCACCAGTCACAAAGAGCAAAGGAAATTGTGGAGAAAGCATCGGTACCTACAGAGAAAGAAAATGAGCCTCCTGGAAGAGCAGCTGAGGCCCCTGCTTTGGTAACTTCCTCCAAAAACACTATGCCTGAGGATCAGTCTTCTGAACTACCTCTAGAAAGCATTACTCATGATGAAAATTCTTCTTAATACCAAGAAATAGTGGCACAAAACTGTGGTTCTGAAACATGCCAACATATGGCTGAACCTGAAGACCTTGCTCCTAAAACCTACCAAGAGATATCCATACTTCAAGACTATTCATCCAAAGTATATCAAGATGTGGCTCAGCCTGAAGTCCTTGCTCCTAAAACACGCCAAGAAATAGCTGTGATTCAAGCTCACCCTTTCAAAATATGGCAAGATGTAGTTCAGTCTGAAGTCCTTATTCCTAAAATGTGCCAAGAAACAGCTGTGCCCAAAGCCCCCTCTACAACCTGTGAAGTTGTCACTGACCAAGAAAGATGTGCTCCTGAAGCAGCCCTAAAAGTGGAGGTGCCTCAGGACGGTCCAGAGGACACAGACCCATACACAGCTGAGCCAGAGAAACCCACTTTGGGACAAGACCAAGCCGGGCCAGAAGGCTTTCTTCAATCACAAAAAATAGCTCTGCCTAAAGACCTTTCTTTAAAAACATATCAAGAAACAACTGAGCCTGAATATTTTTCTCATGAAACATATAAAGAAGTGAGTGTGCCTAACAGTTCCTCTCATAAAATAATCCAAGAAACACTGAAGCCTGAAGGATGTTCACCTGAAATAAACCAAGAAACACTGGAGTCTGAAGAATATTCACCTGAAATAAACCGAGAAACCCTGGAGCCTGAAGAATACTCACCTCAGACTAACCAAGAAATACCTGGGCCTGAAGACTATTCGCCAGAAACCTACCAGGAGATACAGGAGCCTGAAGACCTCTCTATTAAGACATATAAAAATGAGAATGTGCCAAAAGAATACCTTCCAGAACCATATCAAGAAACAGGCAAGGCCCAGGGCCAGGATTCTAAAGCACATGGAGGGCTGGCGAGATGGCTCAGTGGTCTAAAGCACCTACTTAGAACAAGCTAAGCTAAGCAAAAGCACAGCGACCGCGGTTCTAATCCCCAGCACCACATGCCAGCCAGCCCCGCCCCCTGGTGGGCTGAGCTGGCCACACACACACACAAAATAAATAAATAAATGAAAAAAATAATAATAAAATAAAGCACATGGAGAAGATGCTGAGGATGTACATACTATTCCTCAAGGAGGCGCTGTTCATAGCAACCCCACAGAAATGAAAGAAAAACCCAAAGTAGAAGAACCAGAAGTGCCAGCAGTTCCACATGTTCCTCAAGAGATTGGTCCAGAAAACGATGTGTATAACTATGTTTTGTTTTAACAGTGTTCAACCATAAAGTTGTAATCCAGTGGAATATACATCTTAATATTTTGTCTTTTTTGCAAGCTATTGTAGAAATAGCTGTAATTTTCATTAATAATTTAACTTTGTCTTTTTTCCTTTTACAGAACATACGTGAGAGGACTAACATTTTTTTAAGGATCTAAAGCAGATAATATCCTCTGTGTGTGCATGTGTGTCTGTGTGCATGTGGGTGTGTATATGTGTATGTGGCAGGGGAAGGGAAGAGAAAGATAAGGGAAAGGGGAAGGCTGAATAATTTTTTCCTCTATTAACAAACATTTAATTCTTAGGAGCAAAAAAGTGGTTACATTTTTTTTAATTTTTTTTTTAATTTGAAAATTTTGTTGATGGGCAGATAGCAATGGGACAGTTTGTATCGAGTCGGAAGTGCAGTTTTGGCGAATAGCACACTGCATATGTTCTTCTTGGTGGTTGATTTCTGTACAAGATGTGGACTTGGGATCCTATTTGCAGGCACCATTGAAACAGATCATTCTGTTCATTAAGAGAATGCAACTGTATATCTATCCCAACCACTTTTTTTTAATTTGAAAATTTTATTGATAAACAGCAATGAGATAGTTTCATATCAAATCGGAAGTACAGTTTCAACAAATATACATTTTTAAGTATATAGTTTTTTGTCAACCTTGTTCAATTATTGATAAAATAGCATTTTAGCCATGCTTTCTTTGGTTCTTTTAGCTAATTTGAATACATTTTATTCTGGGACTCCTTAAAAGATATTTTAGAATGATGAATGTGGTTTACTTTTTGTATTTGAATTTGGGTTTTCTACTTTTCACTTTTTCAATATTGTATTTCTGCAAAAATGTACATTAAACTATTATGACATGCTTAAAAAAAAAAAGAGAATCTCACAATCTCTCTCCTAGCTGTAATAGCCTATTTTCATCTGCTCCTCTCCTAGTCATTTCAAGGAACTACTTTGTAAAAAAGAAATTAGCCAAGCATGGTGGTACGTGACTATAATCCCATCATTATGGGGAGCTGAGGCAGGAGGATCACAAGTTCAAGGGGATGGCACTGTAGCTCAGTGTGAAGGTCCTGGGTTTAATCCCCAATGTATGTAATTGTTATTCATTGTCAGTTGCAGATTTTTAATTGCAAAACATTTTTAATTGGTTTAAACAGTTACATGCCACTTTAAATCAACTGCTACTACAGTTCAAGTTTTGTTGCATCTGCTGAGTTGTATTTCCAATAAAGAATACATTTTTCAGAGTTTTAGTGTCTTAGATTATTTAATGTCTTAGATTAAATAATAATGAATTTAAGACAAGTTAGTGAGGTTAACTTCCATTACCATTGTTCCTCTAAAAAAATACATAGCCGATCTGTTTGTATATAGTATGGAAAATTGATAAATCTTATTTTAATAGTATTAAAAATCTTAACATGAAAAGCCTGACCTAAACATGGAAAATATTATTGTGATACTTAACAAAAATTTCTCTTCAGAAGAAGAGAAAATGAATTCAGCTGTAGGGTACATTCCCAACTAATACTGAGAAATTAATCTATTACCAGTGACAGAGAGCATGAAGTAAAAATAAATCAGTACAGTATATGACCTTAACACTAAAGAAAAGTGAAAACCACTTATCTGGTTCTATACTAGTCTTGGATTGTTCATGCCATTCAGGAATGTAATTGCATATAGTTTTTATAAGCCTATCAATCAGGATTATTTCTCTTAATTTTGCAGCCATTCCATATTACTAAATTTAAAAATATCTCCTCTAAATGTTAATACTGAAGATTTGCCTAACACTTTGGCTCAAAATAAACATATATCAAAGAAGACAATAAAAAATTGCAGCATGTTCTTCTTAAAATGCATACTTCAAAAAGATAGCAAGCAAATGTAATGCATGCCAGCTTTTGGAATCCTGATTTCTTTTTCTTTTTTTTTGAAACAGTTATTTTCTTTTTTAAAAAATTAATTGTATTGAGAAACAAATAGCAGTGAGACAGTTTCAAAACCAATTAGTAGGGGGATCTTGATTTCAACAACGCAGTTCTGTAAAGAAATAGGAAATAAATAGTAGAAAAGATGTTTTAGGGTAAGTTAACAAAAAAACCTTTTTGTTTTGGAGTAGATATAATTGTTTGGTTGGTGTTTTGTTTTTTTTTTTTAATGTATTTGGTATAGTGTCTCACTATGCAGCTCGGACTAGTAGCAATCCTCCTGTTTTCAGCCTCCCCAGCACTGGGATTGCAGGCGTGTGCCGCTACATTCAGTCCCAGTCTCAGGACAGGGCTGGTGTGGCATGCAGTGCCAGGGATTGAACCCCAGTCCCTGTGCTTCTCTAAGCAGGTGCTTAGTCTGCTGAGCTATCTCGCCAGCCCCCAAACAAATTCTAGATATAATTTCATCAATAAATGATTTATGTTTCTAAAAAACACTTTAAAAGAAAACTTAAAATACTGTTATATCTACTCATTAAAATACTATTATACCTACTCCAGAGGCTGGAGTAGGTATAATAGTATTTTACCAAATACATAAATTAAAAAATATAAAAAATAAGAAAAGTAGATGTTTTCAAGTGGTTTAGAAGTAGAATAAAAGATTGTATACAAGTTATTAAACAGATTGGCTAAGTTTAGGGTTTTTGTTGTTTGGGGGATTTTTGGTGTTAGGGATTGTTTTATTGGCTCTCTTAGCCCCAGTGCTTAATACATTTTAAGTGCTCATCAAGCATGTTTAGATGAATGAAATTAAACTTTCCCATTTTCTAGCTTCATTGTTATGGTAGGACCCATTAACACTGATGTCATCTTAAAGAACTCTGTTGCTAATATGTTTAGTACATAATTGAAAGAATCGGGGGCTGGGGAGATGTCTCAGTAGAGTGGGCCTGAGTTCAATCCCTGGTTCCGCAAAAATAAATAAATAAGAAAGAAAAAAGAATGATTCCCATCAAGCACATTGATCATTGATATA